AGATGAATAATTTAACATTTCGTAAAACCTAAAATGTATTTAAATGATCAAAATTCTAACCCAAAAAACGAATAATATGAAACAAAGTAATCAAAAACCAAACCCAAAACCAAATAGTATGTAAACATAATAAGAAATCAACCGTACTCAAATCACCCAACTACTCATATAAAATCATGAAAATCGTATATTATTTCTCTTTGTTTGGAATTAACAGTTTTGGCTTGCTTTCTCCAGAAGTACGATTTGTAATTGATGTTAATGATCGTTTGGTTGAGGACATTGTTTCCAGATTATCAACATCATAAACATCTTCCAAGTTGTGTTTTAATTATTCATGTTTAGACACTTTTTTAAAGGATGTCAACTTAGTTGGTGGACTTATTGCAATACTTTTATCAAAGATTCGAAGCGAGTATGACGTTATCACCAGTAAACGAAAATGTATCCTAAATATAGACAATAAATTCATATGTCAATATAAAAGTTAATAATATTTTAAAGTATTTAAAATATTAAATTTATTTATATTATATTTAAAACCTTAAAATTTAATGTGTTTTGACATCCGAATTTCACCAATAAAACGTTAAACAAATCGGATTACAACGCCTATATTTGTAGTACATAGAAATATATTAGTTGATCAACTAAAATATAACAACCGAATATAATAAGTGTAGTGCTTGTAGTATGTTTCGTAAAATAATGTTATATGTTCGATGTTAATTTTCTTTTTCCAATTCAAATGTGATTTTACAATCAACATTGAAGTTTGAGATTGCATAACCATCAACATTGTTCTTCAAATTATAATGAGAAATTTGAATTTAAACGCCAACTTTTTATCCAAAAGTAATTTCAAAGCAAACAGATAAATCTTCATATTACCCTCCTAAAAATGAAAAAATTTACGGTTATAAAAATAGACAGACAAAAAGTAAAAATTAGTTTTATGTAAATGAAGTTAATATCGATAACCTCATTAAACTTGAGAAGCAACTCTTGTGTGTTTTTATCCAAAAGTTTCTTTGCGTCACGATCAAATTACATAAGTGACACCACACCGGTAAAGTCTTGTACTATAATGGTGATTTTGAAACTAAAATCATTGATATAAACAAATTCAATAATATAAATTAGAAAATTTAATCGAAGATTATAATAATATGTATAAAAGAGTTACTGAAAACCTTGGAACAACATATACGTGTTTGTTCATGCAAATTGAAGTGTAACAATAAAAAACTTCTTTATCTTGGTTTTGGTCCATTCCACTAGCTTTGTCATCATGCATTAAAACGACTTTTATTGCATTCTCTTGACAAACATAGGTCAACACATTAATTTTTTTTTTTGATATAAAGGGTATAATTTTGTTTCTGTAACTAAATGAATGAAACTAATATGCTTAAAGCCAAACTCTTTGACCTTCTCATCAAAGCAAAGATTCCATCTGTGAGGTGCTTGCTTTAATCCATAAATGGATTTCTCAAGCTTACACACTCTATTAGGGTACTCTGTGCTGACAAAACCCTCTGGTTGATTCATGTAAACATCCTCAACCAACTTTCCATTAAGGAAAGCAGTTTTGACATCCATTTGCCATATTTCGTAGTCATGAAATGCAGTTATGGCTAACAATACCCTAATAGAATTAATCTTGGCTACTGGTGAAAATGTCTCATCATAATCATCTCCTGGAGTTTGAGAAAAGCCCTTTACAACCAGTTGTGCCTTATAAGTGTGTACATTACCATCCATGTCGGTCTTCTTCTTGAAGATCCATTTGCACCCAACCGTCTTACGACTTGACACATTGTCAACCAAGTCCCATACCTGATTGTCATACATGGATTGTATCTCTCTATCCATTGCCTCTTTCCATTTAGCAGACTCGGGGCCTGCCATAGCTTCCGCATAGCTGTTAGGTTGATCAAATGACACGCAATGCGTATCATTAAATTTTCTTTTACTATCTCATAATAGAAATAAAATACCGTATAAAAAATACAATCCATTGCTTAAAATTTAATGTCATACAATTCTATTTCTTACAATAAATAAATTTGCATTCATCTAATCTACTCTGTGTTTCATACTAACAATCTATTTCATGCGGCTTGTTCCAAGCATCCCAAAGACTAGGTCCAAGCATGTCCATGACCTGAAAAAGATTCAATTTTTTACATGCTGACGAAGCCTTGTATCAGCAACATTGTAATGATATCTGTGATTAATGAATAGACAATAGAACAACTAAAACAAACAAGGTTAAGCACATATTTGAAGTATAAACATTCAATTAAACCAAATTGGGAATGAACATACAGAGCAAAAAGATAAATGAATTAAATGGATTTATAAGCATCTGATATGACAAAACACAAAGGAAAGAAAAGTTGATCAAATAACCTTAAATATTGGCATGGCTCCAGTGTAGAACCTCACTGCATCACCATATGCTTCAGATTTGATGCTTTGGTTCTTCTGGCACTCCCATCGGTGAACCGCCTTTCTCTATCTCTCTGCCAACTTAATGTTTTAGGGAAAAAGTTCAGATTTTTAATAAGTCGACACTATCTCCTCCTCCAAACCTCTTACAAGTATACCTCCCTTTCCATCATCCATGAGTACTGGAGAGGAAGTGACTTTGTTGGAGCTTCCCATCGAGCAAGTTATATAAAGCATTCATAAATCTGTAAATATTTTGTTTAATTAAGATTTTAATTTAAGTGAAAATAAAGAATTAAAAAAAATGACCTTGGGTAGAGATTTGGAGAGGAAGTGTCTTGTTGGAGCTTCTCCACTTTGTTTCAGCTGATGTTGAATTGAATTTTGCTGATGAAGCCTAAGAGGACATAAAAGCTATCATCCCCATAAAAGACATTCAAATCTTTTATTTCAACATTATCAAATAAAGGAGCTGCAACATGTTTTGCCAATGGCTTGACAGTTGACAAAAACTATTCAGATAGGGGCAAAATCGTTAAATCACCACCACCATGAAAATATTAAATATTGGATTGGGATTGGGATTTAACTATTTCATTACAAAAAATGCATTGGAACTTGAAACTAAACATACTTGTAGACATCAAGCATGTCCAAAAAAAAAACCAATGGCTTGGCAGTTGACAAAAACTATTCAGATAGGGGCAAAATCGTTAAATCACCACCACCATGAAAATATTAAATATTGGATTGGGATTGGGATTGGGATTTAACTATTTCATCTAAACTTTCATGTTTGGTCCACCTGTTATATGTGATTCTTTCTAGTGTTACCGGGTCTATTTTTTCTCTTTTAAACTAAATAAATTGATTAAATTTGAATACACATGTAATCTCACACACACACACAAAGTTAAAAAACCAATTCTATTACATAAAAAACCATAATGAAAAAGAGAAAAGGCAAAGAACATTAAACAAAGCTCCAAAAAATAAGAATCTTCAAAGGTAAGTGAGGCTGTGAAGGAGAAGCGAAGAAGGGACAATGTGGGGGCTAACTATGATTACTGATAATATGATGCTTACAGTTCAAAACAACAAAATTAAATCAATACATCACGAATTTGTTCAACACTTCTATGGATATTCACAATTCTAGATAGAAAAAGAAATGGTTTTGTGTGTGTGTGTATGTGCCAGGACATACAAAGAAAGAAATCAATATCCATCCAAAATGGTCCAGCCAATACAAAAGTCCTAAACTTCACGGTAATAGAGGTACAATGGTGATGTGTGTTCATAGATACATGGTTTTCTTCTTACATGGCCATGGCTAGTAGAGGTGTGGTGGGTTAATACTTTAAATTCTCTCATAAGTAGTAGTAACACACAGAGGTGAAGGGTATTAGTTTCTGAGTGATGGTGTTTATGTGGTGGTTTGGAGAGAGAAAGAGAGAGAGAGAGAGAGAGAGAGAGAGAGAGAGAGAGAGAGAATTGTAGGAGAGTATAAGGATGGTGCAAAGCGTTGATTTAGTGTGGTGCACCGGTGGTTCGATGATGCAAATATATGCAGAGGGGGCAGATGATGGTGTTGGACATGTCGGAATTGGCTGTAGGGGAAGATGTTATATATAGAGAGAGAACCACATATTAAAAGAAATTATATAAAGAACCAAACCTAATCAAGACACTCAAGCAACAGTAGGTCTTCAAACCCCGAAAATGCAAAATAGGTAACCATTGAACATACCTTGCGAAAAGGAATAACATTCAAATAATAATGATGGTATTTGAAAATCATTTTATAAACAAAGGTACCTACAAAAAAAATCAGCAAAGGTTTAAGAGTATTAATAGAAAATTACCCCATAGTATTCATCGAAATAGATGGAAGACACATTAAAATCCTGGAATCAGGAGATTATGCCAGGGATTTGTTCTTGACGATGCGATGCTGGTGTTGGTTTGGTTTCCTGAAAGCTCCACTAAAACCCTTGAGTAGCATTAGTCTATCTTCATCACCACCTCTGTTACAGATCTAAAAAATCTTGCCCTAATTTTTCCCTTTTTTTTTTTCAAACAACGGGGGTTTCTGATCTACGTGCGCCTCCAGAGTTTCTTTCCACTCTACGCGGGCATTCACCAAAGTAGAGGGTCTCGAAGCATCGGATGAAGTTGGAAAGGTGAAAGTCTTCACTGCATATTTGGTGGTGTCGATGTGAATAGGTTAGATGACAGCTGTTTAGGAGATTAGGTAAGGTAATCCGTGTAGTATAATAGTATAATGCTTAATATTATTGTACATGAGGTAATATTTGTTGTACCTCTTAATTTCAAGAAATGAACAATATCCTTAATAATATAGTAAAGATAAAGATATATATATTTACTATAAATCTTATTATTTCTAAAAATAGATTGAATATAATAATATTATTTTTTTAAGACCGTTCAAATGTTTAAGCTTAAAATACAACTAACCAAAACATACTTACCCTTATATCTCGTCTAATTTTGACCTAGCCCTTTAATTCCCCAATTTTACTCTTAATTCTTGCCTGATTTTGACCCGGCCCCTTTAATCCCTCCGATTTCTGCAAATACCTCTTATTTTGCACGACTTCCTCTCGTGTCTCTTTCGATCTTCAAAAACATAAAACCCAAACATATCATCAGGTATAACAAAACCTAAACCACCGTCTCTAACTACCACAAACCACTAACTTCTCTCTTCCTCCATCTTTGTCAATCTAAAAAAGAAAAATTCATGACACCACCATCATGATCTTACCTCTATTGCATCTACCAATGACTTCGTCATTGTCGAAACAGTGAGTACTCCGCTAGAAGAACACTTGATATTTTCTACCTTTTATGAAAATTTTCTACTAAATTGTTTTTCTGTAATATATTTCCCAATCTATGTGCTCTTCCCTCACTCTTTGATAATCTCTAAGAAAGACTTTAACTGTGTGTGTATGTGTGTGTTTACAGTTGTTAAAGTGAGAAGCTATTGAAATAGCAGACCCCCAAGATGAAGTCGGGTGAAAATGCATGGCTAAAGGTCTGTTTTTCTCTTTCTCTGATCTTTTATTATCTTCAATTTCTTTACATTTTACATTTTGTTTTTGTATTTATAAGGTAGATCATAATATCAGTGCAATAAGATGTGACATACCAAGAACATTGATGATGCATAGCTATGTTGGTATTCTTAGATTTTTATCCAGCAAATGAAGGGTGGACGAACGAACACCTAACAAGAAGGTTGATTACTTTCTTTGATTTTGTTCCATATTCTTCTGGCTCTTACTATGAAAATAACTTTGTAAACCGAAATGAAGTTGAAGTTGTTTTTTTTTTGTTCCTTTTGTGATTAATATGGTTAATTACTTACTGTGATTTTATTGGTTTTGCATTACTTCTTGAAGTTCCAATTCCCCATTATCTTTTGTATTTCTTATTTTGATTTATTTGTTCTTGGGAGGATTTTGTAAATTTTTAAAGCTTTGTGGGTATTTGAATGCAGCGTTTGTAAAGAGGAAGATGAAGAAATGAACAAGATAGGGGCAAAAAGGTCCTTTGTGGTGTTTTAATAAAAAAACATATGGCTATGGATTGATAAACATGGGTTTATATTTTCTTTTCCATTAATTACAGTCAATTAAAGTATACCCATCAGCACACATTTTGATCATATCGTGTCTCTCACTTATATCCTCATTGCTCTTTTTGTTTGATCTGAGCATATTTGATTTGTGCATATTGTGTGTGTGTGTGTGTGTGTGTGTGTTTTGGCTAAATAACAGAGGCAAATGAAATACATTTACAAACCCTGATTTATTCTTAATACAGGTAAAATGATATTTTCCTCTTTACCATTTACGTGCTTGTTTTTTTTCATAAGCAACACATAAAAGTAACCTAACGTTTAAGTTCCAGATTCAAGATCTCCTCTCCTGAGTCCTTGGGGGCATCAACTGTTCGTGTCAATTATGCTTTCAGAATTCTCGATCCTTTTTGCATCCATTTTCATTCTATCGTGTTCAAAACTGGATAACATTTGTAGGTTTGTGGTATAAAGAGAATCTATGTGAAGTACCACAATGTGTACGAGACAAATGCAATGAAGGTGGTGAGGTTTGATTGCATTAAAAATCATGCTAAGAAACATGATGCAAGAAATTGCAATCCGTCTACCCTTGATGAACTTCAATGGGATCTTCATCATATTGTTGGTGTTGTTGGTGGACTCATGGACAATTTCTACAGTCATCTATTCAATACCAAGGTACATCTATTTAAGAAATAGCTATGCATTAATGGGTTGAACGTAAGATGTCATCAATTATTTTGAAAAAGGACATTCCCTTTACTGCTAATTCCAAAATATAACTAACATATTTTTGTATGTTTATTTGTTATAAGCATCTACTCTAATTTTATATACTCCAACAATATATTTTATATATTTTTGTGTTATGTTATTGTATTTTATATGGTGGTTTCAAATTGATAATGTTTCATTGAAGGACCCTATTGCTGCACTTTATCAAATGTTCCAATTCAAAATATCAGTGGTTCTTCACTTCCTAACTAAGTGGTTGCAGCTTCAATCTATCAAATCCTCACGTTATGTAATGTTACCGCTTTTCACCAAGTGTTCCTATTAATTTAAAATGTTACAAACTATGTCCGTATTTAATGAGAAGATGGTTCTCTAAATCAAGTGTTAAGAACATTTAGACTATCTGGTGATTTATAGCTTACTTGGTTGAAAGTTTTTTTTTTTTTTTGTTGTTAAAAGGTGTTGTTATGTTGCTATCAACAATTACCCTCTCTAAATAATTGTAAATTGTTTTACAATATTTTTTTGTGTTATGCTAATATCAACTAAAACCCCGAAAATCTAATATCTTTCCACGATGCTATAATAAACCTTTTTGTGTTTAATTAAGACAAAATAACATAAATGCTCTTGTGGTTTACTAATTGTCATAAATTTAATATTTGATAATTTTAGTGAGCAACGGACCCATATAATTAAATGGTTACATGTGTCGTGTCCGGGTTGAACTTTCTGACTCGCCAAATCGTGATCCGTCAACCCAAACATGATATGAATGTCACACCTATCTGAAAGTATATTCTTTGATATCCGTCAAAGAGAAACTAATCGGTTATCAAAATACCATGCACACAAAAAGTTCATTTCCTTATTTATTGTGAGGGTTACAACTATTCTTCGTCGTTAAACCGATTGATAACAATATGTATTTATTTTGTGTTCCTTTAAATATAATATATTTCGAATATAATCAAAATATCATATGAAATTATTTGTTACCGCCGCTTTGCGCGGGTAAACGACTAGTATATATATATATATATATATATATATATATATATATATATATATATATATATATATATATATATATATATATATATATATATATATATATATGGAATATAAGGTTGTGATGTATGTATGCTTGGGTATAGAACCCTTCAAAAGTATTTCGTTTTCTGATGAGTCTATCAAATCTCGTTCCCCTATTGTACACTTTCTTTAAAACTACATATTTTTACTTCCCTAATTCCACTTCCCTAAAATATCTTATTATCTTATCCTAATTCCACTACCCTATGTGATAATTTCATTTATCAATGTAAACGTCAAGTCAACCTCCTCATATTTACTTCATATTTAAGTAACAATATAAAGACCATACTTCATTTACACATCAACATTCCCTATTCTCTCTCAAATATCAAACCCAATTCCTTTCATTTACAAGCTCTAACTACTCTAGGAGACTTTGCTTCAATTTGATTATAAGCTTTGGTGTGTTTCATATAAGAACCTAGTATTTTCAAAACCATCTTATTATTAACATCTTATTCACACATTATTATGTGTTTAAATATTAGGATACGGCTATTGTTACGTGCTCTAAACTTGAAGTTCACCGTTTCCTATCTCGTTATCAACCCCGTTATTACATTCAAGGTGAGTTCATAGTTACGTGCTCTAAACTTGTAGTTGACTGTTGAAACATGTAAACGCTTAATATGATGTAACTTTTTCAATTACATATATGATGGTTGTGTTTACTTTCTTTACTATTCAATTGTTATGATACTATACATGATGTCCTTCGCCCCTGAATGTTTCCGCCATTCAGGTTTGGGGGTCTGAATTGAATACAAAACATATTTTGAGTCGGGACATAATGGATGTAGAAACTAATAAAATTAGTTCGTTAACAACCGACTTACAACTATTATTGAAGACTTACCATCTTTTCACTTTTTAACTCTATGGCAGAAAAATGCCACCAAGAAAGAATCCTAAATGTTTCAACAATACTTCACCACCACCGCCACCTCCACAATATGACTCCGCTATGTTCCAAGTTGGGGTAACTGCTGCCATAGCCGCTCCAATAATGCAGATAAATGCAAGCGGCGCTAGTGGATTGGGAAATGGTACCAACCACTCAAATCATGGGGAAAGTCACGGACACCCCAGGGAATGATCATACGAAGATTTCACTAACGAAAAGACTAAAACCTACAACGGGATTGGAGGTGTAACCGCAATCATGCAATGGTTTGAAAAGACTGAATCAATCTTCGAAATATGTGCGTTTACAGAAACAAGTAAAGTTAAGTATGCAACATGCACCTTCTTTGAAAGAGCTCTTACTTGGTGGAAGAGCCATGTCAAAACATTAACCCTCCCAGTGGCAAATTCCATGAGCTGGGAAGACCTGAAGATCTTGATGTTAATAAAGTATTGCCCACGTGGTGAAGTGGAAAAATGGAGAATGAGTTGTGGACTCTTAAAATGATGGGATCTGACCTCTCCACCTACACGGCCAGATTCTGTGACCTCTCTATATTGTGACCCGGGATGGTTACCTTGGAAGTAAAGATGGTGGAAAGATTCCTATAGGGATTGTCACCCCAGATCCAAGTGTTCGTAATAGCTTCCAAAACTACTACATTCGACAGCGCAAAACATTTGGCGCAACAACCCATTGATCATGGAGTCCGTCAGGGAACAATAACAACCACTCATGAACAACTAAAGGAAAGTAATAATAGAAAAAGGTCTTGTAACAAGAGAAAGAGAAAAAAAAACAGAGTAAAACCCCAAAAGACAGCAAGTAGTGGCAACTCATGTTGTTATTGTCCCAACTGCCCCAACACCAACAAAACAATACGCTAGAAATTTACCAAAATGCAATTAGTGTAACTACCACCATGTTGGTGCATGTAGGGAGATGTTGTAACATCCCAAGATTTGGCAGGTATTCCCGAACTCTCTTCTATCTTTACCTTGTCATTTATAGTCCTTGGGGTTGGAAGTGAAGAGCCAAGATAAGTTTAAGGGCCAAGTTTGCAAACTTGGGCCAAGAGGGAGTACGGCGCGCATACACAATAGTATGCAAAGCGTACTAAGTCCCACCTTAGTACATTAGTTGTACACTTTTGTATGTTAGGCTTACTAATGGGAGTGTGAAAACCCTAATATTTAGGTTTTGGGGCCTATATAAGCAACATGTTGAGCATCAAACCTCCCTTACCTCAGCCTCCATGGATTACATCTGTCCTCCCCAAACCCTAGCCTTTCCTTTGTGTGTTTAAGCATATTTGGTGTGTTCTTGAGTGCTTTAAGAGGAAGGTATTGCATCAAAGTGTTGGAGAAGAAGATCAAGCTTGTAGATCTGAAGTTAACTTGTGCTCACGAAGCTCCAGAATGTATAAAGTTCCAAACTTTATGCATATATGCATAGATCTTATCATTTTACTTTATTAGAAGCATTTCTTGTCCCAAAAGCCATAAGGTGGTTCATGTTGTGTTTTGGACAAAAATGGTTGTCCTTCTAGACTTCTGGAGGGACCTTGAGTGATAAAAATGAGGTCCCATTAGATGTATGTGTCCCATGCATGAAGAAATAAGTTCTTAATGGATTAAGACCAAGCATTAAGAACTTTATGGAGATCCAAAGTGATAAATTTCATGACTTTATGAATCCTACGCATATCAGGTATTTGGATCTGAAGTTTGGGATTAAGTGCTTAAGCCATTAAGCACTTAATTAGGTTTTGGCATACCGTTGAGTACGCCAACATAAATCCAGTACGCCCAACATACTGGGCCAACCACCTTGATGGTGGTCAACATCTGGTCGAGTACGGCCCGCGAACCAGAGGAGTACACCCTGCATATGTCCTCTACTAGGCCTTTGTCAAGTAGGCTTCGGATGTTGGGCTGTTTATGGACTAAATGGAATTGGGTCGTTGCTGGACTTTGTAAATAAGATATTTTAGGCCCGTTAGTGTTAGTGGATCATGGGGTGAGACCCAATTAGGAAGTTGGGCCTAATTTGGTAAATTGGGCTGATAATGGGCTTTTATGTGGACTTTCAAGTCAAGCACTGAGTATTTGGGCCTTGGCCCAATAAAGGGAATGGACTTAATGAATGGTGTGGACATTTAGTCAAGAAGTTTATTTTGGGTATTAATTTGGTGTTTATTGTGCAATAGTTTGGGATTCCCGACGAGACAGCAGTCAGAGATTTACAGTATTTCAGTAGTACTAGCGAGGTGAGTTGTCGTAACTATATCAATAGGGTCTAAGGCACCAAGGCTGGCCCTTAATGGATTGTATCTGGTTATGGCATGATATGTTTATTGGTTTGCATCTTGGTAGCTAGGATGGGGTTATGTTTATACTTAGTGACCTTGCTAGGTCAGGGTTCTGGTTATAGGATGGTATTATGTGATATGCTAGTATGATCTGTTTGATTGGTATCTTGATAGATAGGATGGTATTATGCGCTATGTGATATGATCCGTTAGATCAGTTGTCTATAGACTGTTAAGTGATTATCTGTTATACGTGCACATGTTTGTTTGGCGGTTGAGGCCTATCTGCTTTGTGCGAAAGCCAATAGACTTGGGTATTCCAACCTGTTGGTTGTGGGCCGTGAGTATTCCATCTCGAGGATGATTGGACTCATAGTATGTGGGCATTCCAACCTATTGGTTGTGGGCCTGGGGTATTCCATCCCGAGGATGATTGGACCCATAGTATGTTGGAATTCCAACCGGATGGTTGAGGGCTTGGGGTATTCCAACTCGATGGTTGACTAGACCCATAGTATGTTGTTTGTGATTATATGTGTATTGTCGTGGGTTTGGGTATTTTGGCGGAACTCACTAAGCTTTCGGGCTTATAGTTTCAGTTTGTTGTTTCAGGTACTTCTGGAGATCGCGGGAAGGCGAAGGCATGATCATACCGCTCCTCTTGTTGTTATGATTTTATGATTTGATACTGAGATACTTTGATATTTATTATTTTGAAAACAAACTATGTAATGTTAAATGGTTTTAAGCATTTTGAAAAAGTTTATATTTTGCATGGTTTTTATGTGTGTTACAGATGTATTGCACGAAGTGCAATAAGAAAGGACACACAGTTCGTTTATGCTGAGAGACAACCCAACAAGCCACCCTAACCACAAACATAGGAGCAAGCCGCACTTGCTATGGATGCGGAGAAACAGGGATCATCAAGTGGGATTGTCCGAAAACAAGGAATGTTGAAGGAGTAGGAAGAGTACTGGAAATGGGACAAGAGGAGGCGATAGGAGACCCAACTGTTGTCACGGGTACGTTTCTCCTCAATGACTCTTATGCATGCATATTGTTTGATAGTGGAGCGGAGAGGAGTTTCATGAGCCACGAGTTTAAACATTTACTCAATCAAACCCCAAAATCATTAAATAAAACATTCACCATCGAAATGGCAAACGGAAAGACAA